ATCCACAGCATACTCTTACACTTAATGTTTGTGAAAACACTTCTTCAGTATTCACCTATAATTTCTATAGTGCTATGCAAAAATGTTCATTCATGCAGCATTCTTTCATTGATTATCATGGCACTCTGTTAGCTACTCTGTTAGATCATCATAATTTTATTATCTTAATAGAGTACAGATAAAGGATGGATGAGACACTTACAAGGATTTTAAGAGTTTTGAACTATGTAGATATAAAATTCTTGACATTAGACAGTAAGAGCACAATGTTAAGAGTTATGACCACTGGGTCCCAAATTCTCTGGTGTATTCATTCTTTTCAAATCCAAGCTTCAACCTCTATACAAATCTAATTATTTAATTTCACTTTGATCTCAATATATCAATAATGTCACATCACCTATATTTTCAACATCCTTTCCTTACAATTTTCCAAGACATCTTTCATTTCCAAGAGTCTATACTACTGTCTTAAAAAAAAAAGCTTCAATATTTTTGTTTGTTTAAGTGAATCTAGAAAGTTTTTACTTTCACTTTTACTTACTGGGGCTGAGATATATACTATCTAGATCAATCAAGACACTGAAATTCCAAGTCTCCCACAATTCAGCTTAGCCCATGAGCACAGTCTTATATCCACCACATCCCTCCACTCTAGACACACAAACGATTGTCAACTTCCTAAAACCCCATGCACACATTTATGAATTCTGTGCCTTTCCTCAAGACATTCCCTTTGCCCAAAAGGTGGTTTCTACCTTCTCTTCCAGCCCACGTGCAATTCCTTCACAATTTATCAGAAAGAGTCGATATGTCACATTCTACTACCAATTTTCCCTAATCAGAGTTAATCCCTCCCTTTATTACTCTTTCACAAAATATTACTCAAAACTATCGAAGACAATCTCTTTGGCCTTATGATTGTGTAGAATTATCTCTACACTGCAAGACTCCTTGAGGGTAGAAAAAAAACTTTCAAGCACTCTAGCAGCGTATTTGGCACAAAGAGTATAAAACAGAAGTTTCTTAAATTGAATTCTGGGCACTGCTTAAAAGAAAATAAAGGACATTTTAAATGCTGGTGCAAACGAGTTGACAAGCAAACATTTTAGAAAATATCTTCTTTTCATGTTTGCAAGCCTAAAAAGTCATTTGCTCAAGACTACTCATCTCTTTTCCAAATTCACTAACCAGAGATGCTCACCTTGTACTCACATAACCAGTAATGGTTTTAATCACAGGTACATCATAGATGCCTAGACTTGTAACACATCAGCATGACTCTACTGGTGGAGCAGGTTTTCTAAGTAAAAAAAGAAAATCTTGAAATCTTTTATTAAATGACATATTTTATATACTACATTATATGATTTCAAAAATATCTTAGTTCAGGGGCCAGCCCAGGGGTGCAGCGAAGTTTGCACGTTTTGCTTCTCAGCGGCCCAGGGTTCGCCGGTTCGAATCCCCGGGTGCGGACATGGCACCGCTTGGCAAGCCATGCTGTGGTAGGCGTCCCACATATAAAGTAGAGGAAGATGGGCATGGATGTTAGCTCAGGGCCAGTCTTCCTCAGCAAAAAGAGGAGGGTTGGCAGATGTCAGCTGAGGGCTAATCTTCCTCAAAAAAAAAAAAATCTTAGTTCAACTCTTTATAGAAAAACATTTATCAATTAAAAAGTTACTCCTAGGAAATATTTTATTCAGAGACATACCAAATATACTTTTTGTCATCAAATTGACAAATGTATCATCTAGTTGTCTTTCCTACCCATGACATATTTGTAAAACTAACTGAATTAGTGTCTGAAAAAAGGGCAACTTTACTTAAAATGACCATCCAAACTACCATGACTCAATAAACCTGAGAACCTGAAAAACTACGCCCATTTCAAATAGATATAATTACAATTTTAATATACAGACATAAATGCTGGTTTAAATGTTATAAACTGATTAACAGTTTCCATAGATTTTAAATTATTTAACCAGTATTGACGTCTTAATGATTTTCATTCTTGCCATTTTCAGTAGACTTTTTTTCAAAGTTCTTCATCCTTATTGATTATTTCCTTACTTGTTTTAACCTATAAACAGCATTAAGTAAAACTCCATTCTTGTTAGTAATCTATCCCCTTCATAACAAGGAAATTTAAGCTGTATATTTTCTTTAAAACTTACTTATCTGATCTTCTTTAAAATATGTCCATGCGTTCTTATTTTCAAGTATTCCTACTGCTGACACTTGGCATATATGCATTATTATCTGGTGCATAATCTAAAAGTGATACAGACTATTCTAACAGTGACAGTTCAGGGTAACTGATCATCAGATTTACTTTTTAATGTCTGAATCACGTGTTATTTTTCCCTCTGTAGTCTACACATTGGTCACTGGCCCTTATCTTTCTATGTTAGAATCTTAGAAGAAATAAAAAGCACTTAGCTGAGAAATGACCACCATGTTTCAAGATCAGGATATGTTTGGCTTAGAATCTTTGCTGTCTTACTTCCTAGCTCTGTGACCTTGCAGAAGTTATTTAATGTACCTCAGACTCAATTTCCACATCTTTCATGGGATAAATTGTGCTTGATTTATAGAAGTGATGAGAGTAAATAATTTTAACCATCAATAAATTTTAAACATCTTTTCCGTTTCCACCTTATTCTACCATATTTCTTTCTACTATACTCTCTTTCCCCTTCTATTTCTCTCTTTCCTCTTGCTACACCTTGGCTAGTGTCCAAAATGTACATCTCGGTCCAGCACTTGGTTTATCAAGGGCAGAAAAGAAATCTAAATCAATTCTGCAAATATCACACACAAGAAACTGGACTTTCACGAAGTTTCTAGCGCTCCTCTCTAACGACAGAGACAAAGGTCCTAGAGTGAAAATACCTGAGTTTGAAGAAGAGTCCACCAGTCACTATTTGGCCTATAACTTCTTGGTATTTTTATTCCTTATGACTAGGTTCCTCCAATCGGGAAACAAAACTAAGACATATCTCACAGAGACATTGTGAAAATAAAATATAAAATTTAGCGTGGCATCTGGCAAATAGAAAAACTATGGGGCTGGCCTGATGGCATAGCGGTCAAGTGCACACACTCTGCTTTGGTGGCCTGGGGTTCACCGGTTCGGATCCTGGGCACGGACCTACACACTGCTTATTAAGCCATGCTGAGGCAGGCGTCCCATATATAAAGTAGACGAAGACGGGCACAGATGTTAGCTCAGGACCAGTCTTCCTCAGCAAAAAGAGGAGGATTTGCAGTGGGTGTTAGCCCAGGGGTAATCTTCCTCAAAAGAAAAATAAAAAAGAAAGGAAGGAAAAAAAACTATGAGGTGAGTTCCTTGTTAGACAATTCTGCCCTTCCTCTCTGTAACCAATAAACAGGAAGTCGCAGAAAAATTCTCCATTTCAAAAACCTAGACAAAAATCATCTCAAGACCCAGAGCAGGAAGTTTACTGGTAACTCTGCAAGCCCTGTGTGTCCTGGAGACTAGTTTGCTCTGCAATGCACCCTGATCAACCAAAGACGATCACCAGCGCGGGGCGTAACTCCTGCTCCTCAAATGACTCTTTGGCTATGACTACATGAGACCAGTGACAATATCTCCCATATATTTTTGTCACTTTTTTCAGAAAAATGGAAAAGTAGGACTTACAAACCGTTTAATTATTTGTAAGTTACTCTGTCTACTGAGAAAAGGAGATATGCATATATCTTAGAAGGGTATTCTAGGAAAAAAGTTTCACTCACTTCTTGAAAGTAACCGTGATAAATGTGACATACTTAACATACTCAACAAATACTGATGTTTAATCATTTTAAAGGAAATAAGATAAAGAGAGTAAAAGCATAACCTTAACTTAAAAGAAATATTCCTCAGAAATGGTGCGATGAGAGCTCTATTAGAATAAAGTGAAAACTTCAGAAAAAATAAAACCAGTCTATAAAACAAACAAATCTAAAGAAACAGTCTGTTAACAAAGACAAGAAGACTTAACTCTTCATAGGAATTTTTACTTGAATATACACACATTTAACGAATAATTGTTGATATAAAAGGTCAAATTTAAACAGCAATACCTGGATGATTCTAAAAAAATAAAATCTGTTTGGGTCAACTTCTCCTTTCAGATTTAAAGTTGTAAATGTAATGGAAGAAGCAATGTAAAAATATCAAGTAAATATATGATGAATGAGAAAAAAAACAATTTTTAGAAAAAGAAAGAAAAGCTAACCCAAGCGTATCTGAAAACAGTTGACTATCTCTATTATTGAAGATTTTGCTTAAACAGACAAAAACCAAAGTAAAAACCTTCACAAACCACCCTTTTATTTTAGCTTGAAATGAAAAAGAAAGTAGAAATGCACTGCAATGTGAAAATTATGCAAAATATAACAAAACATATAAAAAGTCAAATACAACCATAGCTAAAACAATGTTAGTACCTGAAAAAACTGTCCTTTGTAAATTACACATCCTTGTAAGCCTTTCAAAAGCAACTACTCCCAGCTAACAAAAACCTAATCATAATGCATCTTTTCTCCAAGTTCAAAAACATATTTTCTAATAAAAACAAAATTGCTAATATCTGTAATATCCACTTATGTAAGATAACCTAAAGTTTGTTTTATGCACAAATACTCATTAAGGTCACCAAATTTAATGAACGTATAAACAGAAAAGTTTCTTGAACTTACACACAGAAATTGATTTCTAAAGAAAATATTTATATGGGTGATATTCTAATATTTCTACTTATAAACACTACATGAAAGAACAATTGCCAATTTAGAAGAAGGCAAAGATGTTTTACACATCATTCCATTGATTACCAGTCCTAACTGTATTTTAATCTTTTCTATGGGATTTAAGTTATATGCCAAAATTCATACTAAATAGAGCAAAAGATCCACTGTTCCTTTAATTATCATAACAGCCCCTAAAATCCTAACAAGGATGACATTTTTAAAAATATGTTTAAACTTACCCCATTTAATGGATATGTTTTCCATCCTAGCTCTCCAAGAACAGTAGTTGTATCAAGCAACACAACTGGAATTAAATAAAGAAACCTTGTATGAATTTCTCAATTGATGCAAAAATATATCAAAGTATTTAAATCATTAATGTTAACTACCCTATTATTCATTGCATTAGCTTTAATAAGTTGCATTACTTACTGTAAAATTATTTGTATATACCAAATATTAACATTTAATACTTAATAATATTAAGAAATGATAAAATGTATGAGGTGGTTGTAAGTTAAGTTTAAAATATGTAATTTGTTTTTAATAATACAAAATGAAATAAATAACTGAATAACAGAATTAACAAAGTCATTTTTAATAGCTCTTAAAATTAATGAAATAACCACCTTCACTGTTCCAGAACCCCACTTTCATATATAGTCTTTTTATACCACATTAAAGGAAGGAAAAACTATATTAAAATAGGCTTCTGTATTTCCTTTCTCTGTTATTAAATGCCCTTAAATATGATTGACAAAGTATGAAAACAACTCATTTTGACTACACCTAATTTCTTCAAAGCATACATTATATAATTATTGTTATGTGCTAGGTTGTATATTTACTGCTAAGTTTGGCAAAAACAAAAATAAAAATTATGCATCTTTTTCCCTGACAGAAGGAATTCATAATCTGATCAAAATGCAGACATGTAAACAAATAATTACAACATATTCTGTTAAATTCTAAAATAGAAGAGACGATATAGTAGCCTAGCAATTAAGCTGGGCTAAGGCTGGTAGGGCAGGCTGAGAGGATTTCACAAAGGAGATGCAATTTAAGCTGGGCTAGGATGAGGGAGTCTTCAATCAGATGTGATAAGAAACAAATACTGTTTTTTCTTTTCTTCGAATACCTTCTATAAAGTAACTGAGACATGACTAAATCAGTTCAGAGTTGCTGTAATGAGAACTAGGAGTAGGAATTATTTTGGGAAAGTAGGAGAACAGAAACAAGGCTGGAAAGATAAATGGAGATCAACTGGGGAGGTGTTTTGTAGTGTTTCCAGCATGTAAATGTGTAGGGCCCATTATTCAGCAGATCTTTATTTTTAACTGCTACTTCCAAGTCCCACAGATGCCAGTAGGCCGTGGACCACACTGAGAAACAATGCTTTGTTATCTCATCAAGAGTTCTGATTCTTTATCTAGGTAAGAAAATGGGTATTTTTATGTGTAGTTTAAAAGAATGCCATTGGGAGTACGTTTCTTGGCATCTGCTGTTGAGTGTCTATAGTAAGGATCCTGTGGTTTTTCTTATTTGCATCACTGTAATAGATTTTTTTTTATTTTTAAATATAAAACCATGCTTAAATTTCTGGGATAAACTCTACTTACTCGTTGCAGAATATTCTTTCAGTATTGTTAAAATGTATTTACTAAAGTACATCTGCAAAACTGAGCTATAATACTATAATTTTTATTGTGAAAACTCTCAAACATTTTTAAAATGTAGAGAAAACAGCACAATGAACCCTCATGTGCTAATCACCCAGTTTCAGTAATTACCAACTTACAGCTTATCTTATTTCATTTATACATGTTTACCTACTCTCCCACTCCAAGATTTCTTTAAAGTAAAATCCAGTAGTTGTATCATTTCATCTGTAAAAATATCAGTAGGTATTTCTAAAATAAAGACTCTTTTTAATATAACTAGAATATTTTAATTCATAATAGTAATTCCTTAATGTCATCAAATATCCAGTTAGTGTTTAATATTGCTATTGTCTCAACTTAACAGGAAATCAAGATCTAAATAAGTGCCATACATCACAGTGAGCTGACATACCTCTTTAAGTGTTTTTTTATTCTGTAGCTTCCCACACCATCTTTTTCAGTTGTTAGACTCATTGATATGATCTACTTAGAATAAAATTCACCCTTTTTAAATGTACATTTCTATGAATTGTGACAAACCCCTATATTCATGTAACCATCGCTACAATCAAGCCATAGAATATTTCCATCACCCCCAAAATTTGCTCTGTGATTGTTTATAGTGAATCCCTTCCCTACCCAGTTCCTGGCAACAACTAATCTGATTTCTGTCCCTATGGTTTCGCCTTTCCCAAAATGTCAAATGAATGAAATCACAGAGCATGTAGCCCTTTGAGCCTGGTTTCTTTCCCATAGCATAACACATTTGAGATTCATCTATTTTGTTGTGTGCATCAATAGCCTGCTCCTTTTTCTTGCAAGAAAGTATTCTTCTACCTTATGGAATCCCATAGTCAACAGACATGTGGGCTATTTCCAGTTGGAGACCTTATAAGTAATGTCACTATAAATTTTCACATACAGATTTTTGTGTAAATCTGTGCTTTCATTTCTCCCTGGTAAGTAACTAGAAGTGGGATTACCAGGTTATATGGAGAATGCTTACTTTTTTTTCTGGTGGAGAAGACTGTCCCTGAGCTAACATCTGTGCCAATCTTCCTCTATTTCATACGCAGGATGCCGCCACAGCATGGCTTGATGAGCGGCGTGGAGGTCCGCACCCAGGATCCAAACCAGTAAAGCCCGGGCCACTGGAGCAGAGCGCGCACACTTAACCACTACACTACCTGGCCAGCCCCAAGAATGCTTACTTTTTATAAAACTGTGAAGCTGTATTCTAAAAAGGCTACAAAGTTTTACATCCCCATTAGCAGAATGTTTGATTTTCCAACTGCTCCACATCCTCATGAGGACTTGGTGCTGTCTAGTTTTTAAAGCATTTTAACAAGTGTGCTACAGTATCTCACTGTCATTTTAATACATGTTTCCCTAATGACTAGCCAGTTATCTCTTTTACTAATTGACATCAAATTTACTGAAAAAAACTACGTTGTTTTGGGCCCAGCCCTGTGGCCAAGTGGTTAAAATTCCACACGCTCCACTTTGGTGGCCAGGGTTCATGGGTCTGGATCCCAGGCATAGACCTACTCCACTCACTAGCCATGCGGTGGCAGTGTCCCACATACAAATAGAGGAAGACTGGCATAGATCTTAGCTCAGCTATGATCTTCCTCAAGCAAAACAAGAGGAGGACTGGCAATGGATGTTAGCTCAGGGTGAACCGTCCTCAGCAAAAAAAAAAAAAGAAAAAAATGTAGGTTGTTTTGTCCCACATTCTAGATTTTTCCAGTATAAAGATATCATTGAACATACGCCTCCATTCCTCATATTTTCTTTAAATTGGTAGATATATTTAGTAGGTTGATCAGATTAAGGCTCCATTTATTTATTTATTTATTCATTTATTTATTGTCAGATTACTTCATTGGTGGTGTTTTATGGTCCTTTTAGCAGAAAACACGGAAGATATCAATATCTGCTAGGGTCATGTCAAAAGGACTGGGAATCAACCTGCACAGGCTTCCTCTGGCCAAAAATGGATTATTTGATCATATATAAGGTTAATGACTAGAAGGGACTGCAACACTTCAAATATGCTTAAATCCACTCATTCATAATGATAAAATATACCTACTGATAACTTTGGCAGAAAATTAGAAAACCAATATTTTAAAAACTGTAAATAATCTGAAAAGAATAAAGTATTTATTTCACTTTTTCTATACAAACTACCTCTGAATAAAGAAATAGCTAACGAAGGGATGTTTCTCTTACTGATATATTATAGTTAATAAATGGAGAAGGAATGACTGAATCAAGCTACACCATTTTCTACTCCTAATGAATTAATATATTTAGCTAATGGTTTCCAATGGCTGCTAACCCCACAAAAAGAATGGCTACAGCTTTTTAAAATACTTTTTTCATAGTTTAATTTACTCCATATTAACATACAATTCCAATAAGACTGGAAGTAACAGAAAGTACAGTGAGGACAATATATATATACACACACAAAAAATATATATATACACATATACTGTATATATGCATACATACAAATATACAAAATGATATTTGATGGCATCTAGTTTCATTCAGTGTAACAAAAATAATTTCATATATTTAGAGAAAAAAGTTGAAAGTAACATTATAATGAATATTCAAACCTATAAGTTTATCTCATTCTCAAATAAAAGTTATTTTTATTTTTGGTATATACTATTGAAAAGAATTCAGAAGTATGTAATACCAGTGTCTACTTTTGGGCACTGAATAGACTGTTATTCATGTAGCACATTTATATTTTGTAATACATCATTATTTCCCTTGCAGGCTGGTAAAATAACGATATTAATTCATAGTCACTACAGGAAGGATTTTTTAAATACTTTCTTCTTCAAGTAATCTCCACATGGTCCTACAAGTTGTTTCTTTTTTAATACCAATTTACAGATGAGAAAACTGAGGCTCAGAAAGGTTAAGTAATTTTCCTTGGGATCACCAAGTGATAGATCTGGATTCCACCCAAGGAAGACTGATGCTAGAATGTCCTTTAAAACATTTAAAACCTTTAAACCTTTTAACAGTGTTTTCTTCCTATCTCTTTAAGCTTGAATATAAAATTTCATTATTTTCTGTCTCTTTTATTTTTGTAGACTAGAGAAACATCACTATTTCTTTTGCGGATTCCAAATCTTCCTAAGTTTGTATCCAGTTTTCTCATCAATGGTTTCTACAGAAAATTTACCAGTACTACTTACAAATCATGCTATTTAAATCAATGGGTTTACTGGAGTAGAATGTTCAAAAATCTCTAACATGAACTGTAGTCTACAAGAGAGATTTATTTTTCATAGATTATATATAGAAATTATAGCTAATTAATTAATTAGTTGATATAATTATTTTTTCTAAAACATATTTAGGCTGCTCTGTTCTCAATATTCATAATTTGTAAACTGTGAAGTATATTCATTTCAAAACAAACAAAAAAGAAAAACATATATATCTACAAAAGCGTAGATCCTTAGGAAGAATTTGTTTCTTAGTAGCTTCAAGAGACAAGATTTACATAATTGCTTTATTTTCCTCATTAAACTGGAATCAGACCTTTTAAAAACCTGTAAGAACAGTAAAATTTTAAATCTGCATTCTAGACAAGTGAATGAACACTGGTATTAAAATAAAACTGAGGATTTTTGAAATTTTTGATACCATTACATGTGATAAATGTTTAAATTTTATCATTTG